GGCTCTGCAGGCTAAGGGGAGCTCACGGGAGCCCCCGGGAGCCAGGGAGGGGTTCTGACCTGGAAGCGTGAGTGGATTTGCTGCTCACAGTGAGACTCCAGCTCTGGCTGCCGGGCCCAGCCTGGACCGGGGCCCAGGAAGCAGGCAGTTGGTTGAGGCTTCGGCTATGCTGGCGGCCATGGTGGCTGGAGAGGAGGGAGGGCGCCTGGGAACTGCTCCGTGGTGGGCCTTCTGAGTGGGTCTGGGGGACTGGAATTGACCGGGGTGGGCGAGATGGGGAGGGGAAGGGGGCGGAGTATTAGTGACTCAGAGTCTTACTTTCGTACAATGAAACCCAATTGCCCCAGCGGCTGGAATGCTAGCTTCAGAAGTTAATCTTCACGTCTTCCGTTCATCTGTGTGAAATTACAAAGAAGTCCATGCCTGGAGGGGAAGTCCCGCCCCCGTCACTGAAGAGCCAGAAGAGAAAGGGGGAGTTTGGGCTCCAGTCCTCCTCGGCCCTCGGCACGCGCACCCCTCAGGTGCCCGCCGGCCGGAACATCTGGACAATTACACAGGCTCCTTTGTCCGCGTCGGTGCGTGCAGATGAGCAGCTGAGCTGCTCCACAGGAATGCGCCCAGCTTTCCAGCATTCTCTCCCCCCGGCCTTCCCGCCAGCCCTGGGTGCGGCTGGAGGCTGGCAGCACGCGAGAGCGTTCGTCTCCTGCACAGCTGTGAGCTTTTCCAGAGGAGAAATTCCTAGAAGTGGAATCGGGATCAGAGAGTTTGTGGTTCTGTGAGCAGCCCTTGGCAGGGTTCTGCTGATTTGCATAACCTGCCAGGGGTGCCCACGGCCTCAGACGGTCAGTATAAGCCTGGGACCGTCCCAGGGAGAGAAGGGATGACATCAAGAGATGTTCATTATGATCAGAATTGAAGCAGGGTCGGGGGTCTGGGGGAGAGGATTGTAGCTGGGCAGCCAAGGTGGACCGTCATCAGGTAGGAGACATGAGTCAAGATATAAAGGAAGCCAGTGGTTGAGCCTGTGACCAGGAGGTGGAGGTTCAGTTCCCGGTCAGGCCACATGCCAGGGTTGTGGGCTGGATCCCCAGTAGAGGGTGTGCAGGAGGCAGCCGAACAATGATTCTCATCATTGATGCTTCTCTCTCTCCCTTCCTCTCTGAAATCAATAAAAAATACATATATTTTAAAGTGGAATAACAAATTGATGTTTTTTTCTCTCTCCCTCTCTCTAAAAAAAATCAATAAATAAAAACTGATGTTATAAAAAATATATACAATGTTTAAAAAGAAGTGGAGCCCTGTCCGGCTGGTGTGGCTCAGTGGTTGAGCATCAACCTATGAACCAGGCGATTACAGTTTGAGTCTAGGTCTGGGCACAGGCCTGGGTTTTGGGCTCGATCCTCAGTAGGGAGAGTGCAGGAGGCAGCTGATTGGTGTTTCTCTCATTGATGTTTCTGTTTATCCCTCTCCCTTCCTCTCTCTCTAAAAATCAACAAAAACATTTTTGAAAAGGTAAAGCAAAAATTCAGAACTGCAAAATATTTTAAAAATAAAATGCCCTCTCTCTCTCTCTCTCTCTCTCTCTCTCTCTCTCTCTCTCTTCATTTCTGGCTCTCTGGAGAATCCTGAATGATACACAGCAAAATCGACTATTTGGGAAGCAAACATTTGCTAGAGAGGAAGGTTTTTGTTTGATTGCTTTTTTGTTAATCCCCCACCTGAGGATATTTTTTCCATTGATTTTTTTTATTGATTTCAGAGAGGAAGGGAGAGGTAGAGAGCTAGAAACATCAATGATGAGAGAGAATCATTGATCGGCTGCCTCCTACACGCCCCCCACTGGGGAGAACCCGGGACCTTTCATTCTGCAGGCTGACACTATCCACTGAACCAAACCGGCTAGGGCTCCGTTCATTTTTTTTAGAGTGGACGGGAGGGAGGGAGGGGGAGAGAAACATAGATACGAGAGAGACACATTGATTGGTTGCTTCCCATGGGAGCCCCAGCGCCCCATCCAGGTCGGGGTGGAACCCGCAACCCAGGTACTCGCCCTGCCCTTGACCTGGAATGGAACCTGAGCCCCTTCAGTGCGGGGCCGGCGCTCTAACCACTGACCCACCGGCCAGGGTGCCGAAAGGCACTGCACACACAAGCCATGCGCGCGGCAGGCTCTGATGCAAGGCGACAGGCTGCAGGTTGCAAACACACACTCGGATGCCCACCCCCCACCTGGGCCCCACAGGGAATCCCCGGGAACCATAAACACGCAGGTGGAAACCCAAACCTTCCCAACAGACACTGTGAGCCTGGGAATCAGGAAAACATCTGTTTATTCCAAAAATACCAACTTGCAGCTCAGCCGGCTGTCCTCA